CACACACACATAAACACTCACACTGGTAGCTCTCTGCCTGGACCATCCCACACTCCAACGGTGTCTTTCCCACAGAGCCGGCAGTCAGGAGGAATATGGGCAAATCCGAAAGCCAAATGGATATCATGGAGAAATCAAGTAAACCTGGAAAGCGCCGTTGGACTGTTGCAGAAATTGGTCTGTCTGTGCTGCTGCTGTTGGTCAGCTGCGCCTTGGCCGGGCTGGTAGTCCTCTACACATCGGTTGTGAAAGGTAATGGCTCTATCAGGCTCACTGTGGAAAGATCCAGATAGTACAGATGGCAGCAGTAATGACAAGTGTCTCCCTGCTCTGTTTTTGTGTGACTGCAAGTTGGCGTTGACACAGGAAATGATCATGACCCTAGAAATGCTCTCAGATATGACCATGACATGCTTTATGCAATATTGATGCACACAGTTAACTTTGTTTAGGTATTTTTAAAGGTTAATATCATAATACTGTATCATATATAAACTACCTACACATATGCAGGCCTAACCCTTAAGTAGGGCAACTCCAGGCTCTTTTTTTGAGAATAGATTATCTTTTGTAGACTTGCACACACAAATACAACACTGCATAAGACTTGATTGTATTTCCCCTTTACTAAATGTTACCAGTTGATAATTAAAAGCCATTACCATTATAATTTAGAATAAAATCATCCTGACTGTGTCTAATGTTATCCGATATCTGTTTCTTACAATCAATTCAGAACAATCTCAGAGATCCAGTGTGTCAAGGAGCTCAACAGTTGAAGGTGAGTGTCGTCACTTTGAGCTTCTCAACTGATACCCTGTGGGTTAAGTGGGCATGTGTCATATTGGAGCCTGCACCTCTGATAGTCACTGTAGTGCTGTAATTCATTTTACTGCCTGATCAGCAGTGCCACACAAAAGTGAAACAACAGAGTCACTGCTGACATAGACATTGCCCGACACACGCACAAACAAACACACAAACACTCACACACACAGACTATTGGATAGATCTAGGCTGTTTAAAATGAACTCTTTATTTCATACAACTTCCTCCTTTTTTTCAGCCAGGGTGTAATTAGTCAAATTTCTCATAAATGTTGACACTGATTTTTCCAGGCCAGCTGTTTCGCTCGAATGTCGACAGTGTGTGCACAACTGCAGACTGTGTTACTGCAGGTGAGAGGAATTGTTTTTTCTCTGCTCTCCTGCTGTTTAATTTTGCAAACAAAGCCAACCCCCTGCAAAAAAAGCTGTTTTCTGACCACATGTGACTCTTAACCATCCTGTCCCTCTGCCTTCTCTTTCCCCTCTTGTCTCTGTGACACTTACAGCCGCTCGACTCCTGCAGAACATGGATAAGTCTGTGAAGCCTTGTGATAATTTCTATCAGTACGCCTGCGGGGGTTGGCTGGAGCGACATGTCATCCCAGAGACGAGCTCCCGTCACAGCGTCTTTGACATTCTGAGGGACAAGCTGGAGATTGTCCTCAAAGGTCAGCTTAATCCTCAGTGGTCAGTGGGCTGCAGCATTTGGAGCCATGCGTGGGTTTCATTCAGATGAAATGTCTGCATGTGTTTTGTTGTTGCAGGTGTTCTTGAGATGGAAAATGAACAAGACAGAGATGCCATCAGGAAGGCCAAAATCCTTTACAATTCCTGCATGAATGAGAGTAAGGCCCTCTTTATGCTCTCTGAAAATGGGTATTTTATTTCTAAAAGAAGGCAAGAAAACATAAAGCCTGTTGACAAAAACTGTTTCTGTTTCTGGAAGTGTCAGATGATCTTCCTCAGACAGGGTTTTTGCAGGGTTCAAGTTCAATTTAAGACTTTTAAAGATCTTTTTAATACCAGATAGAATTCAATTCCAAAGTCTGATGGAAAACCAGTAGAGATTATTATATCACAAGCTTTCAGTACTTACGAGCAGTATGAAACAATAATTTCTAATGATATAATTAATTGAATGAATAAACCTTGAACATACGTAAGCAGCATAAAATGGATGGATTGATTAATCAATTTAAAATGATTAATTCATTCAAGTTTTTGGTAAAATAGACACTTGCCCATTATAAGACAGTGAGGTTTCTAACTATTGTAGCCAGCAGTAGTAACATGTTCAAATTTCCATTTATTCTGAACCCATTAAGGACTTCTCATCCATGCTGGCTTAAAAGTAGAGATTCATTCTTAAGGTGAGATTGTTTTATTCAACTGCTGTTTCCAAAGTAATAAAAATGAACTTCCTCAATCTCAATAATCCATGTTGGTTGACAGAATGAACAGTAGAGAGACTACAGTGTTGTTTTCATATGTTATAAGTTGCTGTATTTATTTTACCTGCAGGCCTCATAGAGCAGCGTGACTCCCAGCCCCTCCTGAGGCTCATTGACAGTATCGGAGACTGGCCGGTGGCGTCAGATGACTGGAACACCACTTCAGGTAGAAATACCCTGAATCACACTCTGATTAATGTTTAGTTTGTTCTGTACAAATGTGCACATGCAGTACATACACACTCACGGTCTAACTCAAATACATGTGCTCACACGGAGCCCGTGTAGCTATATTTGTTCTCAGTGAATTGCTGAGTACGAGCTTTGTTGGCGGGATCAAGAGGCCGGCCGAGGCTCTTCAGCTGAGCAGTCAGGTGTGGAGTTTGGAAGTGTGATGAGTGGGCAGAAGAGCAGTCCTCACTCAGGACTGTGAAGGATGCTTTAAATAGTCTACTCCGCTCTTCCCCAAGCTCCTGGCACTTGCCACTTTAATTAAATGTAATCATGGACGGTGGCTCAAACTGAATTAACCACACATAGCTACATCTGCACACTCAGATTTACAGAGAGCCCAGAGGGAGAGAAGGGGCCTGATTTTTACAGCCTGTTACATTGAACAGTTCTTTACAGAGAGACAATTAAGTGCCAGTTTTTTTTCCTTTTAATGCAGAGGATGCATGGAGCCTTGAGGACACACTGGCAACGCTTACTGCTCGTTTCCACAAGAAGGTTCTGCTGGACATGTACGTGTGGACGGACGACCGTGACTCTCGGCGCCACATAATTTATGTAAGATCACTGTGTATTTGACAGTAATAAAGATAATTACATATTTCAGCCATTATGTCATTATACAGTCATTATAGATAAGACTTGTGTAATACTATATTTTTATTAATGTCAATAAATCCCATAAAAAGACCCTGTCTGTGGCACTACTTCTACTAAAGATGTAAATCTTTAAAAAGGGGTAACAAATAATATAGTTTTAATATAGTTTCATTTTCATAAAAAGCTAAATAATTTCCAACTAGCAGTAGCAGTAGTCTTTAGCAAAAATCTCTCAAATAAGAATAAATAATGTAATTGTTAGGAAATATCTTCAGCAGCAGATACATACACATTTGGTGTGTTTGGGAGTTTTTAGGACTGTGTATGTGTACTCCATATAAACTACAGTGCCCATGTTCATTGTAATAATAATAAACCTTATTAATATAGAACCTTTCAAAATCGGGTATACAAAGTATGCCTTTTTTCGTGGCCACTGTAGGTTCTCCTTCACGCTTGGAAACGGAGGTTAAAGTGAGGGAGTGTGTTTTAAATTGTTTTTGGAGAACAGTGGAGGAATAGGCTAACATAGTTCTCATTTCCAGGTCATTAAATACACACATCAGCAGTGTTCAGTTAGTTCCAATCTGAAACTTCACCGCTAGATGCCACTAAATCCTACACACTGGATTAACTGCATTGACACTGGATTATTTAATTATAATGTTGAAAACCTCACCTAAATATAAATATTATAAAAAGATTATGGACATGCAAAGATGATTAATTGCTATTCTTATATTCTGGTTAGATTGATCAACCGGGACTTGGAATGCCATCAAGAGATTATTACTTCAATGATGGAAACTACAAAAAGGTGAGGCCTTAAAGGATGAAGGAAGATTGAGAAGGTTTTATGATGTGTTCTTAGATTTCTGCCTCCACCACAGTACAGTGGAAATGAATGGTGTTTTGTTTATGGCGTTAACAACTTTAAAAAATTATACTTTATCTCTTTACAGAAATGTCACACTTTCTTTCTACTACCCAAATAAGTTTGTTTGTAAATATAATTTAAATTGAGTGGTACAAATCTATAATTCCATCCACCTCCCTTGTTCTGTCACAACCTTAATTGTGTTGAAGATTTATAGCTTGTGACTGTACCATAGGTTCGGGAGGCATACCTTCATTTCATGGTTTCTATTGCGAAGATAACCCGAGAGGACAGGAACTTGACTCAGGATGATGACCATGTGTGGGAGGAAATGATGCAAGTGCTGGAGCTGGAGACAGACATCGCCAATGTGAGTGCCAGCCACAACAGGAAATGGAATTGTGGGACGAAGGCTAAGGAAAATGAATAATGACAAGATGAAAAATGAGTACCTCCTCTCTGCTTCCAGTAAATGAGAGAACCAGGCTACATTTAGTGTAGTCATAGGCGATCAGCCAAGCTTTTAACCTGTTTTTTTCTTTTTTGTTCGTGCCTGTCAAGAGCATGACGAATGAGACTTTGCTGATGAAAGGAGAGCAAAATGTGAATATATATAACCAAACATCCGTTTATATAAGGATTTTCTCTTCCTGTTGCTGGACAGGCCACATCACCAGCAGAAGAGCGCCAAGATGTCACTGTTCTCTACAATAAGATGAAACTTGGAGAGCTGCACAGCACATTCAGCTTTAATGTATGTGTGATTTCACTTCTTTCTTGTGTGTACAGAAAGTGCAACAGGCCACTGATTTAAATAACTTAATTACTATTTATTTGACAGTCTGAGTGGAGAAACTATCATGGGCATGTTTCCACTTATTAAACAAGTACTACTGAGGTGTCTTTAACCAGGGTTAGGGTTAGCTGACAGCTTGGTAGTGAACTATACTGTAAGGCAATAATGTAAAATTGTTATACTATGGTACTAATTTCTGATTAGCTGCCACTTTCAATATTACAAAAGGAATCATTAAACATTTTGGAAAATACACTTAGATTCATTTTCTTTCTGAGAGTTAAAAGATTGATACTAATCTCATCTTTGCAGTAAATATGAAACTAACTGGTTTTTACAGCTAGCTTGACTAAAATTTAAAAGTGGATGAAGGTGTGAGCACATTTCTTACAGCCTGTGTAAGTGGTCATTCTATACTGTGAGTGTGAGAATAATGGACCCTGCAGAGGAAACACCAATGATAATGAATGAGTTAATGATATTTTAACAATATTCAGTAAAACTAAACAAACATAAAAATATATCTCTTACCTTTTGTTTTCCAGGGTTTTAACTGGACACGATTTATCCAAGGTGTGCTCTCCAGTGTGTCCATTAAGGTCCAGCTAGAGGAGGAGGTGGTGGTGTACAGCTCTCCCTACCTTGAGAAGATGAATGATGTTCTCTCCAGACACAGTGTCAGGTCAGTCCAAGCAAACAGGAGTCTATGAAAAATGATTACAGAGTATCTATAATTCAGCACAACAATTAAACAAAAACAAATGTATGTTTACAGAACTATACAGAACTACCTCACCTGGCAGCTAATCATTGACAGAGTTAATAGCTTGAGTCGCCGTTTCAAAGATGCCAGAGCCCGTTACAGGAAGGTGAGTGAGGATGACGTAACAGAACTGCACATATTAACATGACCTTGTTAAAAAACTACATTACAGTGTGTGTCTGTCTGTGTGGTCAGACTCTGTATGGAACCACTGTGGAGGATGCTTGGTGGCGAGAATGTGTCCGTTATGTCCAGAGCAGCATGGAGAACGCAGTTGGAGCTCTGTATGTGCGTGAGACCTTTGCTGGAGAAAGCAAACAAATGGTAAGTCCTGTTTTTCTGTGAACTCTTCTGAACATAACAGAAACATCTGATTCCTTAGACCATGAAAATCAGTTACTACACCAGTTTATTTAAAACAATAAATGCCAGCTTTAACTGTCACATGCTGCATTGTTGGTAGAAACCCATGTAACTATGTGTATTCAAGTCTCAAAAATCAAGAAAATAGATTCAGAACAACTGAAAAAGTGATGGACATCACATCTTCACAGCGCACATTTTGTGTGTGCCATGAATCTATTTTATATACAAAATGTAGCATGTGTTACCCGAGAGTAAGTGATTGCACCGTTCACAGGTCAGTGACCTCATCGGTAAGATCCAGAAAGCATATGTGGAAACATTAGAGGAGTTGAGCTGGATGGATGCTCCCTCGAAGGAGAAGGCAAGAGAGAAGGTAAAGTACATATGGCCAGGCTAAGGAAATAAGAGTGTATCTCCTTTAGGTGTTAGGTATTATCATTAAAGATCGTTCTGCATCTTATGTAGGCCATGGCAATCAAGGAGCATATTGGCTACCCAGATCATATCCTGCAGGAAACCAACCAGAAGCTCGACCAAGAGTACGCTCATGTAAGTAAGATTCAATTTATCTCCAAGCCACATTGTAAATAACTGACAGCTGCACTTGTCACTAATCAATGATTCTATTTCCAGCTTAATTTTAGCGAAGAACACTACTTTGAGAACATCCTCGAAAACCTCAAGTCTGAAGCGCACAAGAGTCTGAAGAAGCTCAGAGAGCCAGTTGACCCGGACTTGTAAGCTGTTGATACATCTGACAGTACAAGCTGTTTTTTTATAGTAAAACACAAGCTCTTGTGCTCAGGCGGTGCATGCCATAAAACGTCATCAAGGGTAACAACACAAACCCATCTTTTAAATTAGGTTGATTACACAAAAATCAGTCATACATTTTTGCTCCCTCTTTCTGTTTCCCAGATAGTAAACAGGGAATGGACATGGCGCATTGAACATTTTTGAACATTTAGATAAAAAGACGCTCCCTGTCCTCCTCAAGTCATTCTCAAAGAGCTTAAAAGAGAGCTTAAAAAGGAAGGCTTAAATATTGGTGATGCAAAATATGGTCTGTGCATGGATTTTACAGTATTGTATCTAACTAAAATTGCATTTTCTTTTGTAATCAATTATAAACCCTTTACCAATCCCTCCTCAGGTGGATCATTGGTGCTGCTGTAGTGAATGCATTCTACTCGCCCAACAGAAACCAGATAGGTGAGAGCTTTAGGAGAATCAACATGGACACCAGCAATAGATGTTTTGCTCCTCACTGTAATCCTGTTTACTTATTTTGTTTTCATTCCCGGTGTTTTTGTCTGTTCAGTGTTTCCAGCAGGAATCCTGCAGCCGCCTTTCTTCAGTAAACAGCAGCACCAGGCTCTTAACTTTGGTGGAATAGGAATGGTTATCGGACATGAGATCACACATGGATTTGATGACAATGGTGAGACAGGAGTGATTCATCATGGAGATTTTGGGAAGCCCAAACCGACAAATGCAGTTTATCATTCATTGTCATTTAATAATAATAATAATAATAATGAGAATGTATTTTAAGTTCGACAGTTGACTGTAACAGGTTACATGCATCGTGTTTTGTAAACAGTACTTTACTCAATGCATTTTGTTTCCTTGCAGGGCGTAATTTTGACAAGGATGGTAATATGCTAAACTGGTGGAGTAATTACTCTGCAGAGCATTTTAAAGAGCAGTCACAGTGCATGGTGCAACAATATGGCAACTTCAACTGGAAGCTAGCAGGTGGACAAAACGTAAGCATCCAGTGGCGTGTATGAAATGAGACGTTTTGTCTTGGTTGTAATCCCTGTCAGAGTAAACCCTGTATTAGCTGACCACCAGAATGAGTGTTTTCACGTTGGTGTGTGTTCACGGTTTTGTCTGTGTGTCTCCAGGTCAGTGGAATCAGCACTTTGGGGGAGAACATTGCAGACAACGGAGGGGTTCGTCAAGCATATAAGGTTGGATGTTAGCTGCAAAAGTACCACATGTCACTATTTCACCAGCAATAATAGACTCCTAAACTTTCTGCACATCTGAAACCTTCTTTTAAGTGTGTGTGTGTGTGTTTGGTTACAGGCTTATCTAAAGTGGGTGAAGATGGTGGGGGAAGAGCCTCGTCTACCTGGTCTAGACATGAACCACAAGCAACTTTTCTTTCTTAATTTTGCCCAAGTAAGTAAGAATAATGAGAGGACATGTTATTTCTGAATGTATTATTACAGCAGACAGAGGCCAGACAATAATTTCTCCATCTGGAGTCAAGAGCCAAAAGCCTGTGAGTTGCATTTTCAGTGGTTGGCGCTGAGAAGTAAACACTGGGACAAAGGGAGAGGGTCAGGGGGTGAGACGCTGAAGCAATCCCAGAACAAATCAGCGTTCAGCTACGCTCATAGGGGATGAGAAGAGCTGCCAAAGTAAAGAGCATCTCTGTGCCAGGGAATGTAGGCACAAGCAGAAAACTGTCATTGATAATAAAACAGGTCAAACACCGGTTACATTTAATTTTCATGAGCCAAATTGCTCTCCACTGAGAGTCTGGATTTGGCTCCTAATGAAAAGTGCTGTAAATATATAGAATGAACAGAAGCTACATTTGTGATAAAATATTAATTTTGTAGTTTGTAAAATTGATTTTTAATGGTGTCCGTCTGCAGAGGCCTTCTTTTAGCTCCTAACGACTGCTTTTAAAACTAGATTACTATCTACTCACATAATCAGTTTTTTTTCTCTAGGTGTGGTGTGGTGCTTATCGACCAGAGTATGCCAGCCAGTCCATCAAGACTGACTCACACAGTCCCTTAGAATACAGGTAAGGAGCTTTAGAATGCTCAGATAAATATTTCAGAACCAATAAGAATATTTGAGGTACTTTGATTAATTTAATTACTGATTAAACTACCACTCCATACATTGTCTGACATTATTAAATAGATACATCAAATAAAAAATAAGTAAGATAAGTTTCAAAATACGATCCAGATCCAGTTTTTTGAACATCTTTTGTTATTTAATTAATTTAACTTAAAGAGTCTACAATTCATATTTTTATATTAACAGTGAACCACATAACTGTATGTGAAGAATCCCTCACCTCTACAGAATGACTTAGTGTCTTTTAGCTCTGCTAAGGAGGTTATGTTTTCGGCGCTGTTTGACTGTTTGTCTGTCAGTAGGATTACGGAAAAACTTGCCTGGCCTGATTTTCATGAAACTTAGAACTTAGAAAGAAGTGGATCCAAATCACTGAGCAGATACCTGAATTAATTTTCACTCTCATTAACATTGGAAGATGGATCAGTTGTTAGAAATGTTGTAATTAAAGGGGACGATGTGCAGATTTGCATATAGAAGACAGCACTATTAGAGGTCTGCGCTCTACAAGTGCCTTTCTAATTATTATTATTATTTTCGGTTCTGAAACTTCACTGTTTTGGTTCAGTCAGAAATTTTTCTCATAAGTTGGTGGAGAACAAAGAGACCAACCAGAGCTAAAAAGAGAGTGAGTATTAGACTTACATTGACAAGGTGGCCAGAAATGTGACTTTAAATTTATATTTTTGATCCATAACTGCCAGATATGTAAATAAGCAACTGCTTCCTAACAAGTTCCCATATCAACTTAAAAGGTGACGGTGTTGTATACAGCTAGTTTCTTCTGCCTCCAAAGTGTCCAACGAAAAATAATGTTTTGTCAGCTTTAATTATTGTCTTATACTAATTGTAATTTTAATTTGTTTGTCAAATTTAGTGTTTCACCTTTCCTCCAGTCTCCGCACAGCCATATACCTCAGCTCAACTTTGCCTCTTTTAAATGTAAAGATTCACCAGACTATAAATATAAGCCCAAGACTCCCACCGGAAAAGTATTTTGCTGTGCCAAAGCACAACTCATTTAAGCATTGGGATCAGTGCAGCTCATTCTGTGGTCTACGTATAAGGACTTGGAAGCTAGATTCACTACTTAGCAGTGCGCCTCTATTCATAACAGACTTTAGCTTTTAGCACCCTGATAATGTTTTGTTTTTCTTTTGTCTTTAGGGTGCTTGGATCACTCCAGAATTTTGAAGCTTTCTCAGAAGCTTTCCAGTGTCAAAAAGGCAGTCCAATGAACCCAGAGCTGAAGTGTCGTGTCTGGTAGAAAGTTTAGATATTTATTTCTTGACATGGGCAACTCAAATCAAAAGAACAAGTTGTACTTCTTAAACCCACAGAGACATTCTGCTTATTCCCATTTATTTGGGGCAGAGTGAGGACACAGATATTTGCATACACTGTAGATGTATTTAAAATGGCTGTCATCCTGGACTACACCCTAGTTTCGTATACTATAAAAAAAGAAACTTGCTTGAGTATCTTCTCAAGTTAGAAGTGTTGTCTCTGGACGAGTAGGTCCCTTGTTCTTTTTTTTGCTGTGTCCCACGACAGACGACGAGTGGGTACATAAATAAAAAGGCTACATAGAAAACTTGTGAAGATCTTGTGAAAAAGTAAAAGCTTACATGGCTGGCTTTAACCGCTTTGCCGGCCTTTCTTGAATTAATCCTTAAAAAAGAATTCTCTTGTGCAGATCTTTGTGATTTATCCATTATCATTGGCACTAAGTTGCCTTGGTGTCTTTCCTCTGATGTATTGTTTTCAAGACATTGTGCCACTTCAGAAGAAACAATAGTGAACAACTCTGGCTGAAGAGTATGAAGTAAATGAAAACTCGGGGCTTTGCTGAAGTAAGGCTACGATAGAATTAGTCACACTCGGAGAGTCTGGTCATTCACTGTTACATGAAACAAATTATCTAAAGACTTTAAGACTGTTAAATCTTTGCAGCTTTAACCTTAAATTAACATTCTGCGAGAGCTGCAGCTTTTAACATTTTTACACTTACAGAGTGGATGAATATTTAAAATTTACAAAGCTATTTAGTACTTTTTGAAGGATATTTTTTTCTAAGTTTCTTTATCAATGATTGTCGCTCAATACTCAGAAATGTATATGTCATGACAGTTTGCTGTACGAAACTATATTCCAGATGTTTTGAAAAATATTGGTGGCCTACTACTTTTTAGCTAGTGAGAAAACACCTGTTGGAGAGTGATAATGATGATAATGAACCAATGTATATCACTATATTGCTTTATTCGTTACTGCCAGGTTGAGATACAGGTAACCACAGCTGTGTTGTGTTTGAAGCTCGCTCCCTCTCACACATTCCACCTTTTACAACATTTCGAGAGGCACCCAAGTGTTCATAATGGGCTGATATATAGCTAGCAAAACTCCTCACATGTGCCATTTGTTACGTGGCGCTTACCTTTATTCAAAATTATAATGTCTGCTTGTGTAATATCTGTAAGTTTCCATTTTACTCGACATGTTGACTGATTTGTAGAAATGTTTTTTCCTTCACCACACGACCTCCTGAGAGGAGATGCGAACACACAGTGATAACAAGACTTTTAGCCTCTGGGCATAGCCAATTACATGCTATGGGGAAGGGAGAAGAAACCCCCCTCAGATACACTCACATATGGATAAGCAGCAGATGAAGTGCTTTACCCTCTGATCTCGCATTGATCAGCGCTGTGTAAGATGAAAGGATGAAGTGCGGTGTGCTGAAGCGTGGTGACCGCTGTAGCCGAACCACGAGCCCCACAGGCAGACTCACTGAAGAGTGGAGCTTGTCATTAAATAGATGGCCAGGGCCAGGACTGTTATTTTCTACCTTTATTAACAAGTAATGACAGGAGAATCAAAGCAGAACAGAACACAAGATAGAGGATGGAGGTAGTGGCTGCAGGTAGTTACCGTTTTTTGTGCCAAATGGAGCTCTCAAACACAGCAGAAAACAAACAAACACATACAGCTGGTTTTGAATGTTTTCTTGGTCACATTCAGGATGCCTTGGTAAACTGAACACGACTTTTTAGGCCAAATTGAATGTGCATATAAGCTTTACACTCTCAGTCTTCACATTTTGGCAAATACTGTTGTGTTTAGCAGGGAGAGGAAACACCAATGAAAGACTGTTTTACTCAGAAAGAAAGTGCTGCAAACGTTAGACATTTGGGGAAATAAACTTAAATAATTTGCTTCTTCTGGTAGAAATTTAACATAAGCTACAGCCAGCAGTCGGTTAGATTAGTTTAGCAAGTCTGGCTCTGTTCAACAGTGAGAAAATCGTTTAAAACTCACTCAATTAACATGTTGTATCTCAATTTGTTTAATTCATACCAAAAACAACATGTAAAATCAACAATTTGCCATCGCACAGTGGGTTTTCTGCTGGATTCTTGGCTAAGACTAGTAACTCATAGTTTTGTACAGATTAGTCAGGCAAGTTTGGTTACTTTTAATCATTTTACTTTTAGATTTAGACTAGCTTTTTACCCCTGCTTCCAGTCTTTATGCTAAGCTAACCGGCTGCAGCCTTATACTAAACAGACAGACATGAGAGTATCGAAATTCTTATCTCACTCTCACCCAGAAAGCAAAGAAAGCATATTTCTCCAAATGTCAAACTATTCCTTTAAACAACAAGGCACATTTATCATGTCTGGTTCAAAGAAATGCTGGAGGATAAATCATAAGCTACAGTGTAACATTGGGCTACCATTTGAAGGGCAACAGTTTAGACTTGTTTTGTCTGGTTTTCCTCAAAGAGTAAAACAGTTCAACACTGTAGACTGAACACAAAGGGTACATAATATACAATGTGTTATTGTAGATACTTGATGTTCTATACTGCAGTATTTACATATAAAGGATTCATATCAGGTAAGAAAGAAAGCGTACATTTCTTACCTTAGATCTAGCTTCACATTTACTTATATGGTGAAATTGTGTCGTTTTGAAATTACCAGCCAAGTACAAATACATTTTTGTTACATATAAACATGTTTCATCTGTAAACCAATCAGAGGAATTTATTTATCTACATGAATATTTATGAAATAACATTGTTGCTTTGCAAGAATTCAGACGTTAAAGATGTTTTATGAATGTTCCTGCTGCTACGTAATTATCTAGATTGCCATTAAAGTGACTGTCTCAACTGGTTCGATCTCAAGTCTCTCCTTTAAATGTGCCACTTTAATTTTATCTGTTTATATAAAAATCATGTAGGATTCTTTCTCATCGATGTGACGTCAAAAAGATCAATTGGTTCTTATGCAACATATGCATAAGCCCTAAAAGCACTCATGTTCATTTTCATGTTACAGAGTCACACTGTCACGTGTCTTCTTGTATATGAACCTAGGCTCATGTTACTTCAGTTTATAGTCATAACTGAGAATCAGGATGGCTCATTGGTTCTACAGTACTTTGTCATGCTCAATAAACACTTATTTTACTGTGCCAGCAGCTAGGTACAGTGGCATTATTAGGCTAGTTTTCAAAAGTAAAATGCCACATTTTTACAACTTGGAACTATTAAAGGACCAGCGTGTAGGATTTAGTGGCATCTTGTGGGGAAGTTGCAGATTGCAACTAACTGAACACACTGACTGTCTATATTTGTATTTCTAAGGTGTCTGTGAGAGTCACTAAAAACACTAAAGGCCTTATCTGGAGGCAGTGTTTACTGTCAAAACAAGGTGGTTCAACTTGGCAGACTCCATAGAAGAGGACCTGCTCCCTCTAAAAACTGATCATTCTAAGCTAACATGATTCTTATTTTCAGGTGGCAGGTATACACTAATGAAAACATAACTATGAATCATATATACCATTAATGCCAGTAGATCCTCCTAAATGTTCCACACTGGACCTTTAAAGCAGCGTTCAGCTTGCCCACACATATTTAGGTACATTTATAGTTCTGATAGATAGGATGTTGAGTTATGGTGGTAGGTAAGGCTCTGAACCTGGATCTGTATTACAGTTTAGGGAAATTTGTCCAAAGTTCAGAAATGCAGCACATTTTAAGTGCAAGTGACTCTGAAGTTGGTAGCTGCAGTGGATATAATCTAAAGATTAATAAAGCGAGTGGAGGGAAATATAATGGTGATGTGTAATCTTATGATGGAGGCATAAGAGTTTTGAATAATTAATGTAATAAACAAAACACTGATCTTATATTTTAGATAAGTGTTTGTCATGTAAAAACGTTTGTACACCCTCACCTTTACTGAAACTCCACTCATGCATGAAACTGCAGCCAAGTATTGTTTGTAAAGTTTTACTATATTAGATTGTTATTCATTAGAAAAAAGAATACATTTATTTTACAAACTCTGAGTTTAATACAAACTGCAAATGCAATGCAAAGTCATAAAAACTATTTAAAAAAAAACAATCATGATCAGTATAAGTGCAAGTTAATTTAAAATGTGTTAAAAGATTTGATTGAAACGATTATAAAGGAATGTCACTGTTGCAGATAATATTATATAACTGTGACACAGAAATCACAAGAATGTTGGCAGCAGTTTTATCTTCACTTTAGGATTTTACTGATATTCCACTTGTTAAATCTCCATTTCAGCTTCCCAATGTGATGGTATTCATCGTGTACAAACATCATCGTTGCACTGCAAGAGAAAGTACAAGGGTTAAACATTAAATAATGAGCAAGAGGCATGTATTTACATGGTGTTGGATGAACAAGAGGCAAATGTTATTCACACTTAAGGTTTAACAGCTTTTCTATGCAGAAAGTGTCTGACAGAACAGATGCGCTCCTATTTTAATCAATCCAAGCCGCGTATCACTCACGCTATATGCATGTGAAGCATATTTTTACACTTCAAGTCTATATTTTTCCATTTTAATGTGCGTAATCTGTGTGTTGGGTTTTGAGCGCTGCTGAAACGTGAGTGACCTACACTTAATACTGTGCCTGAACGCATCCTGTGGAGACACTGACAGAGAGCTGACGCCTCCTGTGTGGACATGCTGTAAATGCAGTTATTGGCAGTCAATCTGCTCAAACTAATCTCCCACAAATCCAGTTTTGTGAAACATATTGATATAACAGAACTATTAATCATCAACGTCAACACCTCAACACCTCAACTACAGATTAATGGTTAGAGAGGTTCATGTTCCAGGAGGGAAAAATGGCTTCTGTCGACATATAAATTACAACACAACCACAAAAACACAAATATTCCCAAACCAAGAGGAGATATTTTTACTATCCCCAACCACAAAATGGTCATAATGTATCTGCAGAGAGCTGACAAGGGTATTGATCAATATGGTGACTCAATAACAGTTTTATCTTTAACTCTAAATTAGAACAGAAACATTCTTTATCTTGTCATTTCATGAAACTCCAATTTTTGCCCCACACATTTTCTAACTCCTTAGTGATGGAGGATGATTGTGCAAGAAGAAACACTGGCCATTATTATTTCAGTTGATAGCATTGCAGTGTTTTTCTCTTTTTGCTGTGAGACATTTCAACTAGATGGAGAAAATGTTACACAGAGATATAAGTGAAGATTTTATGTGAATTGCTTGTAAGAATGATTTTGAACTGATGACATGTTTCAGAAGACCAAGAGAGAAAATGACACCACATGGCTACAATGGACTTTTAAAAGCTCTTTATCTGTGATTGGTGCTGTGCAGCTTTACCCTCCCAGATACCAAAGTAGTGAATTTAAATCTCAACTACTGGACTTCTGTAACAGTTCGTTCATAAGGGACTAAAACAAGGGAGAACATGAGTATTGTTCATGCAAAGCACATATAGTGTATAAAAAAAAGTAAAAAAGATTTTACTTTTGGTGTAACAAAACAATGAGGAAGTAAAGTCAATGTCAACAAAACACAGGGGTTAAAGCCAAATGAGTCTCTGAGCAAAATAATATTTTGACATCTCTGTTTTCTTTTGTCTGGTATGTATTCAAATTCAGAATCTGATAAAAAGGACCAAAAGTAAACCAGTCTTCATCTTCTGTTGCCAAAGTCCATTTTTGGAAACTGCCTTTGGTCTATTAATGACCCTGAGTGTTAGAGGAGAGTGGTATGCAACAGGATCGTTGTTGTTGTTGTGGTGTATGTGGAGTATGTGTTGTCTAGGCCACTGTGAAGCACAGTGTTGTTGACTTTTAACCACTTATCTGTGGCTTACTTACAGATAAGGTGAGTTGCTCTCCAATTTCTGGGATAAAACCCCATCTGCAGGCAACTTTGTCTAGACCAAGCGTTAAACATGTCTTGTTTATGGGGCCTTAGCATCATGCGCTAAAGTTGAGACACAGAGTGTTCTTCAGGGAAATCTAGTTTGAGGTTTTCCATCTCTAGACGCAGATAAGAGAAATAAACACTGTCTATCAGCTGTTTGAACAAGACGACAGTACTCGGCTTTATCCGGATCAGCAAATGACCTCACTTTGTTAACCAAGCATATCAGATAGCTTGTGACTTTCTGCCACATTTTGGCCCCGTCAGAGAAAATAAGGTCTATTCTGTTTCTGGACTGCAGCGATGACATCTGTTGGTCTTCAGACAGGTCATGGGGAAGCCTACTGTACATGTTGCAATCTGAAATAGTGAGTTTTGTGGGAAACAAGCAACAGAGTCAGGGGGCAAGTGCAGGGAAGGCCATGTGCTGGATGTCCGGGGCATGCCAAAAGCTCTGATGATCACAGGACTAAACCACTGTCGGTCTGGACTGGCAATTTGTTAGCTATGGTATAGATCAGGGACTGAGTTCTACATTGTACTTTGTATTTTATGATTATATATTGACACCACCGAACCAGAATCAACAATGTGGCTTATTTTCTGTTCTTAAAGATAGAATCTATAGTGTTTTGAGTAATAAATTGTGGTGTGCTATAAAAACATATGTTCTGTAAATATTTATATACCCCCAGAGTTTTTGCTCTTGACTTTTTATATTTATTTTATATTTGTTTTGCATTTGACATATGTTGATCCACAAAACTGTTGTGAGATTGCACCAAAGTAATGAGAAGGATTCAGACTCCAAAGCCATTCATAAGTGAATGTCACATTTCAGACTTTCTAGACTTTCTAGACTTTCAGTAGTACACCCTAAAGTCAATTGAAATCTGTTATCAAGCTCTTTTGGTTATGTGTTTTTATACTTGTTAAAGTTTGTTATACATGTTAAAGCTATTAATTCCTCCAAGATATACTTGACATTAAATTCTTTAGAGAAGTGTCGCATCGGGGTCTTTGTGAAAGATATAAGAATATATATTTCATAAATCTAGGGTAAGGCTGCCAACACTGGTTTTTCCATGTTGGATTACTTATATGATATTTGTGTAATAACGTCTCTATTTGTGTTTGCGGAGCATTTTTTAAGTACAATTAAGTACAGACTGAGATCAGTCAAGTTTAAAGGGTTTTGGGGGCCTATGACACAGACACTGACAGACCATGAAGATGGAGTAATAGGTGTGAAATTGTCTCTGAAGAGGCTACTCTGATGCGTGTGTTGCTACTGACGTAAAAAAACAGTCTGCCGAAAGAAAATGACTATTGCATGAGTCCAGTGTCCTTTAGTAAGCACAATGATAGCGTTTGTTTCAATTTTATTTCGCGCTTCACTACACAGCGTTAAAGGATCGATTTCACTCATGAGCACCAACGGAAAATTTAAAGTTGAAGAGGGGGGGTAAAGAAAATAGTGGGGGAAATGCATCAAGATGTATTGTATCCTTGTTGTGTGTTTATGGGATGTCTTACCACCGGCCTCTGTCCTGCTTTTACTGTGGCTGAGATACCCAAAGCTTTAGAAATATCCTCCAGAGGTAGGTGGTCTCCTGGTGAATCCTGGATAAAATGCAGTAGGACCTTTTCTCCACCTTTACAGAGCAAAATATATTTAGGAGGAATCGTCAAGAGAGCAGCTTATGAATTTTATGCATTACAATCAAAGACTGTTATGAATTTGCTTTGGTGAACTCATGACTCAGGCTGACAGTAATAAAATACAGCACAGATAATTTAATATTTTCACTGATTTCATATGCAGGTGTTACTGGTGACCAAAAATTGATACTATAATAATATAAATAATTCAGACAGTAAAAAAAGGTAAAGTCCTCCAAAAATTAGCTTAAAATGAACTTCTATTTAATAACTT